AAGGGGGAAGCTAAGAAATCATCCTAAGCTATGTTTGAAATAATTTGAAAGCAATCCACAATAGGTAACATAGTCAACAATATTGGAACATCCAATAAATTACAAGTTATAACCTCGAAGTAATATCAACTTGTAAAATGAAATGCGAATCAAACAATATGGACAACTTAGAAGTGGCGTCCGGTTATGAACTTCATAACGCAAGAAAATTAGTTGTTTTGGGTTACTCGCCCGCAAGGAACCACCTAAGTGCGTACTATATTAGGGAGAACTTGTACCTCCCGCACTAGGGCCTTACCCTAGCCATGTCAATATTTCATTGCCCATGTATTTCTAAAATCAACACTAGTGTCACAACAATTACATGGTTATATAATGCATTTAACCACCTTCCATACACACCCAAATTTGAAATCCACACAAGCCATGCCCTAAGTCCTCAAGCTACAATGGCATTTGCAATATCAAGTTTACAATGTTGATACAACTGCACTACTACAAGGTTGTCAACATAGGCAATTTATTCATGCTATCAAAGTAAGCTTAAACCTTTAATTTTAGGCAATAACATAGTTTAATTTCACGCATAATCAATGACAAGAATAATCCTAGAATATTATAGTTATAATAACAAAATAATATAATTTAATTCTCTACTAAATGAAACAACAACTACACGAGATTAATCATATACAAGTCTTGCACAAAATAAAACCCTAGGTTACACTGATTCAACATATACACCACTTCATAAAAACTGTTGTTCACACGCACTTACACCACTATACTCTTTGCATAACAATTCAATAAGTATTCATCTTTTTACGTTGCAATAATTAACATAGTCTAATGTACGTGATATATGGACACCTAAAATCACATTCACATTGTTTGTCTAACGTGGCTGTATTTTTACAAGTTTCATTCACATGAAACACTAGATTTCAGAACTTGTTTCCAACAATATTTTCTAGAGGAAAGGACACGAGCTTTATCCAAGATCCATGTGGAGCTTCCAACAACCGTGCACATGGCTTAACTTCCACGACCTAAAATCTTCTCTCGCGCAAAAGTAAACTGATCTCCTCTAGTTAGTAATGCACGTTAAGCAAATGTTGTGATGTTTTTAACCTTGCATCATAACATTTTCCTAACATGCATCACTGACTGTATGGGACCTATTTACTGTTGTATATGAGAAGATTTTGATCCAACTTCCACAACCTTAATAATGATGATGCATCTAACTTGTCACATGTCCTACTTTACACTCCATTCATCCCAAAATTCTTATCCATCTTTCGATTTTGGGATGTCCCAAAATACATGTCTCATATTAAAAAATAGATGAATATTTTTTTATAATATTTTCAAATTATCCATTGACATTAATTTAATGCATTAATTACGGAGTACTCTTTTATCTTTTAACAAGGATAAATTTGAAAATTCACTCTTATCAATATAATAATAAAAATATTAAAAATTCAATACCATAAAAGATGGTTTTCCTAAACACCTCAAAATTTTTGGGACAAATGGAGTATATATTTAATTGTAGTTATAATTCTTTTGACCCCTACCTAAAAAGAAAATAAATAAAAAATAAAAAAATTTGGATTTATGACAAGACTTCAGTTAAAGAGTAAGAAAATTCCTCTTAAAGGTACGACATCACTTATACATTTTTATGAAAGCTTAAAACTGTATTCAACAAAGCTTTAGGAAAAGTGATTAAAGTCGTAGGAGAGTTTACACTTGTGAAATTTTAAATTAAAAAGGTACATATCTATAAAGAAATTTGTTTAAGAAATGAAAATTTAAAATATCATTATTCCATAAGATTTTATTATGAACGAGAGAAATTTTTTTTTTTTTTTTTTTTTTTCTGGTCCATAAAATGAAAAAATGAAAACGTTTGCAAGGGAGGCAATGACTCAATCTTCACTATCAATCACATTGAGTAGACCACCTCATTTGCGTTTTTGAGGGGCAAGACTTATGCAAGTCTTGGCAATTAATTGAATAGGTGTTAGTCACCCAACAAGAAATTCCCATAAAATGAGTAGATATATATATTTTTTTTCTGGTCCTATAAAATGAAAATATGAAAACCTTTGCAAGGGGACAATAACTCGAGCTTCACCATCAATCACATTGAGTAGACCACCTCATTTGCGTTTTTGAGGGGCTAGGGGCTAGACTTATGCAAGTCTTGGCTTGGGCGCAAATCCTTTGTTGTGAGATTCCTATGCAGTTCCTGCTGTGAGTTTTAAGTGACCTACATTTTGCCACATCATTCTTCATTTAATAGCTCTTAAGGCAGCGTTTGAGTGGAATTGAGGTAGCGTTTGGATCCTTCTTCACCACCATTTATAAGTATCTTCACACACAAAATACGTTATGCATATAATACAGACTAAGTAATGTCACATACAAACTTAACTCAATTCAATATAATGTGTTTGGCAATTACACCATCATTTATAAGTAACATTTCACCACCATTTATAAGTATCTTCATCCTTAAATTAAGGTAAGCACATAAATGGTGATGTTACTTTTAGACTCCTGTGATGTTACTTTTTAGATTATGTGATATTACTTATAAATGGTGGTGTAATTGCCAAACACGGTCTCAATTGTCAAATAGTGGTGAATGACGTGGCCAAAGGTATGCACATAAATGGTGATGTTACTTTTAGACTCCTGTGATGTTACTTTTTAGATCCTGTGATGTTACTTATAAATGGTGGTGTGATTGCCAAACACGGTCTCAATTGTCAAATGGTGGTGAATGACGTGGCCAAACATAAACCACATAAGAACTTACAGGAGGGGACAGCTTGGGAATCTACAGCAGAGGATTTGTGCCCGTCTTGGCAATTAATTAAATATGTGTAGTCACCCAACAAGAAATTCCAATCGTTGTTTTGTAGTAATAGTAATCTTGATTGGATAATAGAATAGACGGTTGTGATCAACTATCCATCATCATAATAACCAGACCATGATTTCACCATCTTATAAAACATCTTGCCAAGCCTGACTTGTTAGCTAAGTCTATAGATATATTTCACATGAAACTCAAACTCATGGAGATTAAGACTAGCTTCCTTTTTTCTCTGGCGTTGTCGATACACTATTGTTCAGTGGCTTGCTTGGCTAGGTCCATTACAAATTTCACTAGTGATCAGTATGCTCTTCTCGCCTTCAGAGCCCGCATCATTTATGACCATGAACATGTATTGGCTAATAATTAGTCAACCATTACCTCAGTTTGCAATTGGGTTGGTGTCTCCTGTGGTCTCACCCACCATAGGGTAACTGCCTTGGTTCTCTCTCACATGGGTCTCCAAGGCACCATTGCTCTACATCTCGGAAATCACTCTTCCTTACGACACTTGATGTCAGTCACAACAATCTCAATGGGTCTATACCTGACGAGTTGGCTCATCTGCGCCGATTAAACCAAATCAATTTGAAGTTCAACGGCTTCAGTGGAGAGATACCACTTGTTGGGAAACGTGCAGATCTTGATTCATCACATAGAGACAAGTTTTATGCAAAATAAAAGATGATGTATCATTCAATTAACAATTTGAATACTTACATCAAAGGTCTGAGTAAACCTTTTAATCTTTCCTCTAAAGTAAATGTTCTCACTTATTGTAGATCCCTTAGCAAGATCATTTCTCCTTCTTCTTGATGATAATCTTCCCTTTAGGAATCACCAATATGCCTTGATGAATGACCTTGGAATCAAGGCTTGTGGTAGCCTCCTTTAGAAGAGAAAACAAACCCTAAAAACTAGAGAGAAAAAATATATTCCTTTTTCTTGTTCTAAAAGTCACACCTAAAATATACATGGACCCATGTATATATAGGCAAACTAAAAATAAGAAAAGGAAACAATAAATCCTTCTCCATCTCTAATTCAAATTTCTTAATTCTAATATGACTCTAATATCAACTTGGGCTATGGGTGAGAATCCTTTGGGCTTACTATTTTCTTGGCTACTATAAATTAATAATTGGTATGGTCTATTAAACCATGGACCCAATTCAATTCATTCATAATTTAATTTCTACTCCACTAAAAGAAATTAATTGCACTCCAATTAAATAGTAAATAACCTCTAAGTCAATGTTGCACTTTGACCCCTCTATGCATAATTATTTATCGGATAATTAAAACCATCAATTCGACAACATAATTAATATAATTATTTTGTTACCTTTGATTATTTCCGGCTCGATCACAATAAAATATTTGTTTGACAAAAATAATAATTTACTAAATAAATATATATAGAAAACATTTTGTCTAAAGCATACGAAGGTCTTCGAATTTAATTTGTGATCAACCATAATCAAAACAAAATAAATACAAATAGCACTGATGCAAATATTGAGAATATAAACTTCTAACTATTAATTACATAACTACTCAAAGTGCCGATTTAAGGATCCCGAGGTATCCGCCGAACAAATCAAAGTAATTATTAATTAATAAAGAGTCTATACTTCTCTCATGCTTGAGAGTCAAAAGCCATGACTGTGATAGAGAGTAATTGCATAAGACAACTCTCGTAATATATCTCAATCTATCGTGGACTCGGTTCAAGTCTTAACTAATTAAATATTCATCCATAATTACCGACTTTGAACCATTTATGATTACTAATTTATAACTCAGTATTAATTACCATTACATACATATATAAATATATCTTGTAATCAAGTAGACACAATCAATTCCATAATGAATCGAAAAAAATAATACATTCCATTCACCAATTGTATAATGCCTTAATAATAATATTCAGATAAGGAACCATGACTTTTACAATCCAAATAAGAATGTGCTATGCTAGGGCACACATATCTCAACACCACCATGGTTTGGGATCTTATCAAAGCTCCACCAATTGAATCTGAATAACAATAGTTTCACAGGTACTATCCCAAAATCATTATGCAACATCTCCAAGCTAGAGATGTTGGATATCGGAAGCAATTCTTTACATGGAAATATTCTAGAAGAAATTGGTAGTCTTTCTGAACTTCAAGTACTGTGGTTGGATTCTAAGAAGCTCAGAGGATCCATCCCATCTTTAGTCTTCAACATTTCTTCTTTGAGGTTTATTAATTTGTCAAACAATAGCTTGTCTGGAAGTTTGCCCGAAGGTATTTGCAACCATCTTCCAAAACTTGGAGAACTACATCTTTCTCATAATCAGCTTAACGGCCAAATTCTCGCCAATTTGTTCAGATTCAGGGAGCTCCAATACCTATCATTACAGTCCAATGGCTTCATTGGCAGTATACCTAGACAAATTGGGAACCTGTCTATGCTAAAGGAGTTATATCTTGGTGAAAACAACTTGAAATGTATGATTTTAACTTCACATCTAACTCAAGAATTAATTATTCTTTCCATTCCATATTAGTTGTTCACTTTTGATATTTTAAGTTTTTAAATGGTCCCTTTTAAAACTACAATGTTGTCCTTTTCAGTTTAAAGGTATATATTATCAAGTTGGGTGATATTTGAAAAATTAAAGGGTAAGTATGAAAAAATAGTTTTTTTTGTTTTTTTTTAAATTCCCAAATGGGACATCTAATTTAGGTTAAATAGTAGACAACTAATATGAAACCGAGGGTATAATATTTTTGATATATACCTGCCGTGGAGTAGGAAATCCGTAAGCACAAAGGAAATTTGATAAACTTGCATAGGAGTTTCCCTTGGTAGTTAATTGTTCAACCATATCATGTATGGCAAAACGCTAGTAATTTGTCTACCACTACATGTAGTAGCGCTACAAGTTGGGCCGGTCCAACCCAGCTTGGTCCCAACCCAACCTTAACCCGAATTTGGGTTGGGTTAGGCCAGTTCAATGTCAAAAATTCTGGACTCTGACAGTAACCCGAGCCCGAATGTGTTTGGGCTGGATGGGTTGACCTGTTTAAATTTTTTTTCTTCTTTTTTTTCTTTTCTTATGAACAAATATGCAAATTACATCGTTTCTTTTCTGATTTGAAACATCATTGTCACTGAAATATTCAATTATTAATTTTTATGATTTTTCAACTCTAATTTTATTTTTATTAATACAAAAGTATAAAACTTATCTTATTTTATTTTCAATATAAAAGTAAAAAAAAAAATTCTTTTTTATTTGTTATTTAATAAATTTTTATTTTTAAATCACTCCGAATAAAACTCTAAGACAATCCATGTAAGTGGAAGTAATTCTTAACACAAGCTGCCGTCGGTGGAGAGCAAATCGGATCGAGAGAGAGGGGGGGAGGAAAAGCAGCAACCGCCTCACTGTTATTACCATTTATAGTCTCTTCAATCACATATATAGATATAAATATATATATTTGGAAGGAATGAAAAAAGAAAAAAAAAATTGGAAGGTGAAAAAAAAAATGGAAGTTTTTTAAAAAATTTTCCGAAAATATTAATTCATTAATAAGTTTTTTAAATCTTATTGAACTATTAGTATTGTGGCTATGAAGTATTCAATTATTATTTTTTGTGTTTTTTCAACTCTAATTTTATTTTTATTAATACAAAAAAAATATATAAAACTTACCTTATTTTATTTTAAATATGAAAAAAAAAAACTTTTTTCTTTTTATTTGTTATTAAATAAATTTTTATTTTTAAATTATTCGGGCGGCAATTCTTTGATACCTGTTTGCATTTGGTTTCTCTTTCTGCGATCAAACACACAAACACGCGCACGCGCGCGCGCGCGCACACACACACACATATATATATATATCAATGACCAATTAAGATTTTTAGTAAATGATAAGACACTTCACATAAATAGATACATATATATCAAAGATTTGAAAGCTACCAACAGGCCAGTGGTCTGCGGTATTAGGCCCTTACTTTTCAAAAGGAGGTCAGGGGTTCGAGCCTCAATGGAGGAATGTGTGTGTGAGTACTAAGAAAAAAAAAAAAAGAAAGGAAAAAAAAAAAAATGGAAGTTTTTTTAAATTTTGGGTTGGGTTCGAGTTGAGCCCGAGCCCAACCCGAATTATCTGGGCTTTGAAATATCCCAACCCGAGCCTCAGTGGATGTATGTGTGTGTGAGTACTAAGAGAAAAAAAAAAAAAAATGGAAGTTTTTTTAAATTTTGGGTTGGGTTCGAGTTGAGCCCGAACCCAACCTGAATTATCTGGGCTTTGAAAGATCCCAACCCGATTTAGGCCGGATTTGTGAATTTAAAAGTCCAAATTCCAAAAAATTTGGGCTGAGTGTGAGTTGGGCTGGGTTGGCCTGGCCAAGTTGCACATTTGACATGTAGTGACACTAACTAAATATTACTTGCAAGTTTCTTGTTTATTTTTAGGGTAAAATGCAAAAAAAAAAAAAAAAAAAACCCTAAACTATGGGGATTTTGCAACTAACCCCTGGAACTACAAAAAAAAAAACTCCTGAAATTTCAATTTGTTGCAATTTGCCCCCTTAGGCCACCGGAAAAGAAAAAAAACAAAACTGCCCTCCTTATAAAACAACGCAGTTTGCTGATAATATCAATTTCTTTAATTGACTCCCTAACTCGTATGGCACAATCACAGCTCCGCTGCTAACACCATCGATCTAACCCAACCATCTCTCCTCATCGGCCGCCACCGCTGCTGATGTTCTCTCCCGACTCCTTTATCGCCTCCCACCCAATCTCCCTCCTTACTCGCGGCTCACCACCACCACCCACCACCGCTCTTCCCCTCATCTCTCTCTCTGACCTAAACCCAACTCTTTTAACCAATCTTCTCTCTGTTTCTTCTCAACTCGGTTTCTTCCAACTCACCCACCACTCAATACCCTCCCAACTCGATCACTCAGGTGAATCCGATTCACTCTCTCTCTTCAACCTCCCTCACGATTAGAAACAGTTATTTGTACCCAAAAATTGGCCCCTCGGCTATGATGGCGATGACGATGAAGATGACGATGGAACGGGTGACTTGTTCTATTTCAACTCGTCTTGCTCTACTGGAGGTTGTCGGAGCGCTATCCTGCGTAGTGGGTTTTGAGGACCCGTTCTGGATTCTCAATTTTGAGGCGGCTAAGGAGTATATATATCCCCATTTGTGATTCCATTATTTTCAAAGTTTGATTAGTAAGCATCATCACATCTTCGTCAATTAATTGTTTTTCCTCGGCGAAGAAATTTCAGGCGAGATTGAGGGTGTTCATAATGAATTGGTTCACCGCTTGGCTATGCGAGAGCAGAGGAAGCGAGCCTTGATTTTATGTCTGTATATATATATATATATATATATATACCTTACAATATAAAGAGAAAGTGACTATGACGGAGCAATTACGGCCGTCGGAGCAGGCGTGGCTGAGGCGAAGGGCAATTACGGTCGTCTGATGATCGCTCGTTCCCTCTCTCTACGCTCATACCTGTTGATTTTAGAACCGCCGTAAGCACCACCGTTCCATCCCGCCAAGTTTTGCAACCTAATCACAGACGGCTGTTTCTAGGAGTCGGATGTTGCTAGACCAAAGTGGGCATGGTACAATTCTTGATTTGGATAAGTATGCCATAATGCGATGTGTGTCGATTAATGTTAAGGATCTTCGAATTCTTGATCCTCTGCTCTCTTATCTTTCTACAATTCTTGCCCGAAAAAGAGCAATCGTTCTCAGTTTGGAGGTCAATTTCTAGAACACCTGGTATCCATTTCCATCTTTGCCTTAATCATTCCTCTGTTTGTTGCTTAAATTGTTTTTGTTTCAATTATGTTTCAGCACATCAAAACAATTATTACAACTGAAGAGGTATCCTCTTTCTCTCTCTCAAATTCCAGAATCAATCTTTCATAGTTTCCCTATCTTTCATAGCTCGCCGACATTCTTGCCGTCACTGTGGTCCCCGGTTAAAGCCATGTTTGGCTATTGAAGTCAAAGGTTAGAAATTAAGGGCACTCTTGTCCTTTCATACTTCTAAGGGCAGTATGGTCTTTTAAAAAAATTTAACCAAATTTAATGGCCAATTCTCACCGGACCTTGGCCGGAGGGGGTGATTAGCAACTTTTTTGCATAGTTCAGGGGGTATTTTGCATTTTTGGTTAGTTGTAGGTTTTCCCATAGTTTAGGGGTTTTTTTTTCATTTTACCTTTATTTGTATTTTCAATGAGTATACATGTGAGGATTTTATTTTTTATTTTTTATGATTTACAATTGGTGTTCAAATTTACCTGTAAGCACCAAAACAAAGTGTTCATATCTTCATTATACATTCATTACTAGTATAACAAAGGAAAAAATTATATATGTGTTGCTTCTTACAACTTTGCAGGTGAAATTCCATCGGAGATAGGTAATTTTCAACGTCTGGAAAAATTGAGCTTCCCAAGTGGCTATTTGACAGGGCGTATTCCATCTTCTATCTTCAACATTTCTTCTTTGCGAACTATTAATTTATCAAACAATAGCCTATCTGGAAGCCTCCTAGTGAACACTCATTTCAACCTTCCTTTTCTTGAAAATCTAGATCTTGACACTAATCAACTCACAGGTCAAATTCTATCCAACTTATGGAAATGCAAAGCGCTTCAATGGTTAGGATTGTTTCGTAATGAATTCACCGGTAGCATATCCAGGTAAATCGGAAACCTTACTTCGCTCAAGCATCTAGTTATTGGCCATAACAACTTGACAGGTAACTTGGAGACTTTAATTACTACTTAGTCTACCTTTATTTTACTTTAGTAAACGTTTACCCTGTGCATAATGAATTTAAGAAAATGTAAAATGGAACAATAGGTACTTTACTAGATGAGATGGGTAACCTTAATCTCGAGCTTCTTGTAGCCTATGGAAACACCTTCACTGGCACCATTCCATTCAAAATATTCAATGTGTCAACAATGACATACCTTGACCTAGGCGATAATTACTTATGAGGTAATTTACCTTCTAACATGGGGTTTTGGCTTCCGAATCTTAATTGGCTTGATCTAGCAGGGAATTAACTCAGTGGAACAATCCCCAACTCTATCTCTAATGCTTCTAAGCTTAACATCCTTACCTTAAGCAGAAACTCATTCATTGGATGTATACCAAATACGCTTGGTAGTTCAAGATTCCTACGGGGGCTCATAGTTAGTACAAATAGTTTGACCAGAGAATCTTCTACTCCGGAGTTGAGATTTCTCTCTTCTTTAATGAATTGCAAAAAATTGGAGATATTGGGCATATCATTAATTCCATTGGTGAGATTTCTCTCTTCTTTAATGAATTGCAAAAAATTGGAGATATTGGGCATATCATTAATTCCATTGAACGGAATACTTCCAATTTCATTTGGCAATTTGTCGTCTAGACTACAAGCGTTTGAGGCAATTGAATGCAATATTAAGGGAAACATCCCGAGTGGAATCGGTAATTTGAGTAACTTGGAATATATAAATTTACAAAACAACCAATTGATTGGACCTATCCCAAAAGCAATTGGAAGATTAAGAAATCTAGATCATTTGCGTCTTGAAAATAATAGATTTGAAAGATACATCCCAGATGATCTTTGTCGATTAAAGAAGTTGGGAGCCTTGAATGTAAGTAATTACAAGCTCTATGGATCGATTCCGACATGCTTTGGTGAGCTAAATTCACTGAGAATGCTCCATCTCAAGTCCAACAAATTGATTTCCATAATACCGTCAAGCTTGTGGAACCTTACAGATCTATTGATTATAAACCTATCCTCAAACTTCCTAAGAGGTCAACTACCATTGGATCATATTGGAAATTTGAAAGTCATAATAGAAATAGACTTGTCATGAAATCACTTATCAGGTACAATCCCGAACACCATTGGAGGAGCTCAGTCATTAGTTTCTCTCTTCTTGGACCACAATAAAATGCAAGGACCTATTCATCAATCACTGGGCAACTTAATAAGCTTGAAATTCTTGGATCTATCGAATAATAGCTTGTCTGGTGTTATTCCCAAGTCCTTGGAGGCACTCAGGTATCTCAACTATTTCAATGTGTCTTTCAATAGTCTGCAAGGAGAAATTCCTACTGGAGGACATTTTGCTAACTTTACAGCCAAGTCCTTTATGCATAATGGTGCACTTTGTGGTGTACCGTGAATACAATTCCCCCCATGTAAACTTCATCAAAGATCGAGGTCAAAAATTTCACTGAGGTTGATATATATTTTAAACCCCTATTGCATTAGCAATTTTTGTTGTGGCCCTCATGTTTGTGTTGATAGGAAGAAACAAAAAGATCAAATTGCAGACCCATGTAGATTTGTCACCTCTTGCTTAGAGAAGTTTCATATGAGGAACTTCTACAAGCAACAAAAGCATTTAGTGAAACCAACCTAATCGGCATGGGGAGTTATGGCTCAGTATATAGAGGAATGCTCCAGGATGGAATGAGTATTGCAGTAAAAATTTTCAATTTGCAACTAGAAGTAGCTTTCAAGAGTTTTGATATCGAGTGTGAAGTAATGCGCAACATTCGTCATCGGAATCTAATTAAAATCATCAGCAATTGCTCTAACCTGGATTTCAAGGCCTTGGTACTAGAGTACATTCCTAATGGGAGCCTCGAGAAGTGGTTGTATTCTCACAACTATTGTTTGGATATCCTGCAACGGTTGAATGTCATGATAGATGTTGCATCAGCCTTGGAGTATCTACATCATGGTCATACTACACCCATTGTTCATTGCGATTTGAAGCCCAGCAATGTCCTCTTCAACGAAGACATGGTTGCACATGTTGCTGATTTTGGAATTGCGAAACTCTTAAGTGAAGGGGATCGTATGGTACAAACTATGACCTTAGCAACAATTGGGTATATGGTACCAGGTGATGTTCCATGTTTGTTATTTAATTTAGTTCATGCTCGAGCATCCCTATTTCTTTTTAAACAAGAAAAAAAAAAAAAAATTCCCATACTAAAGTTCAATTTTGGTGTTTGATTTTGTAATTAATGTAGTCTTGCATAGAGTATGGAACGGGAGGAATAGTATCTACAAGAGGTGATGTCTATAGTTACGGTATCATGTTGATGGAAACATTCACAAGGAAGAAGCCGACGGAAGAAATGTTTGCCGGGGAGATGAGTTTGAAGCGTTGGGTGAATGAAGCATTGGATGGTTCCATAATTGGAGTTGCGGACTCCAATTTGATTGGAAGATATGGAGAAGATTTCTTTGTGAATGAGCAATGCTTCTCATCTATCTTGGGTTTAGCTGTGGAATGCTCAAATGATATACCCGGGTAAAGGATAAACATGAAAGAAGCCTTGGTTAGACTCAAAAAAATTAAGGTCTCCTTTCTAGCAAATAATGGTAGGACTTGAAATTTAAAAGCAATCAAGATTCCCATGAATCCTCGGGTTTAGTAGTATTATGTACTTTCAGATTTTCCCACTAATTATATGCGTCCAGTTTGAAATCTTTTACGTTAAAGAAACGTAGTGGAAGATCATGTATTAGTCATGCTAGTAGCTTTATATAATTCGAAATTTGCATCCTTTCAACTCATTTTTGGGTCATATTTATCTATCTGTGGAGTAATTAATATTTAGCCACTACAAGTTTGCACCTTTATCATTTAACCTTTTCGGCACCTTAATTATAGGTGCTCATGATTTCCAAAAAAAAATTAAAATTGCTTGTACATACCCTGGTAGATATCATAGAGCATGCCTATGACGTTTCTCAAATTTTCAATTTTTTGGGTGTTTTTCGAATTTTCGGATTTATTTATTTTTATTCCTCGTTTTGCATGTCACGCACCGCGGTTAGTGTGTCATGAAGGTTCCGAGAGTGGTTTGGGATATTTCTTTGGGTTTAAAACTCTTAGAAATGTATTTTGAGGCGTTTTAGCATTTTTTTTGGATTTTTGGTCAAGGTCTAGGTCCCACACCTGGATTTTTCATGCGATGGTAATCTTTTTAAGTCCACGTGCATTTCATATTTATTATATTATATACATTTATGTGGATATGTGTTTAAGTGTATGCGTGTAGCTTATTGTACATTTATGTGAATATGTGTTTAAGTGTATATACATTTATGTGGATATGCATGTAGGTACATAAAAGTTAGTGGCGGAGCTAGTATATGCCTATATTATATATATGATCCCCCACTCCCCAAAAATCCAAACCCAAATTTTCAAAATTTCTTTAATTTTTCCTTTTTTTCCCCATTTATTCTTTAAATTTCTTTAATTTACTTTTTTCCCTTGTTCATTCATGCTCTAATTAGTTTCTTTCCAAGTCCTATCATTTTTCTTTCCCTTTTTCTTCTTATTTGTGTTTTTCCTTCTATTACTTAAAATTCTTCAATTTTTTTTTATTTTATGTTTTGCTATGCCCCACCTGAATTTAAATCCTGGCTCCACCAGAGTGGCATTTTAGACTTTGTGGTCAAAGGTGAGACCAAGGTGAGCTAAAGAATCGGATATAAACCACATGTTTAGATTTTTTGGGGCTATTCTTCGTCTACTCTCTCTCTCTCTCTCAGACCATGGCTTCAAGCTTCCAATTCTCCTTCCATTATGAATTTTTTTTTGGTGTTTTGTTGTCAAATTTAAGTAAAATATTTATTTTAAAATTTAATAAAAATAACTTAATCATTAATTTTTGACAGATTATTTTATTCATCCAACACGATAAACTTCCACCTACACCTTATCAAACATTAAAAAATAAAAATATATATATTTTATTTAAATTATGTCGGAACAAACAAAACCTTAAATGAATGTGACATCTAAAATGGTCCAATAGGTGGTATAGGCATATGAGTAATTAAAAGAATGAAACGCCGATATTAGTGGCTTTGAGGATGCCTGTTAATGCAATGCATGATGGTACTGGGATAGGAATAGGAAGCATCACACACCACTTAGCATAAAAATAGTTTGTATTCTCCGCGATCCTCCGTTGGGAGCAAAGTCCATGCAAATTAGATACAACATAAACATGAACAGAGTAGGGTACGTTTGTTTCTACAACTAAATTCTTTTTACTTTTTATTTTTTTTTTTATTTTTTGGTGTTTGGCCAAGGCCAATAGCCGAATATCTTTCATAAAAAATAATTTTCTTTTTCAGATAATTTTTTATTTTATTTTTTTTATTTCATATTTTAGTGTTTAGCAAAAGTCTAAATCGAGGTTGTGATCAAGTTATCGGGTTGAAAGTGTAAAATAACTTGTAAAAAATTAATGAATAAATTATTTTTATTTGATTTTACTTAAATTTTTGACAATCAAACACTAAAAAAATAAAATATTTTACATCCAAATCAATGGAGAAGCCATAGATAAAATGATAGCACAACTGGTATTACGTTTCCCCATCAATTGTAAAGGGAGTAAGTTGGTTTGATGTAAAGTAAGTTGTTAACTCTAACAACATCTGCTCATCCAAAGAAAATATTTTCCATTAATTGCCGAATAATATATATATATATACACGGACAATATAATTATCACGAATAATATTACTATAAATTATAAAATATATGTATGCTGAAGTTCACATGTGACCAAGCTTACATAGATGGTTATTACGAAAGGTATTTATAAGTTTCTGTAGGTATATACAACAACACTAGCTTTTTACATATAAGTTGATGAATAAAAAAATTACTATACAAGTTTTTTTTGCAAGTTGTTCCTTAACTATTGAAAATATTGTAGGATACTCCCAATGCAGGGAGCGACTTGCAAAACTTGTACAATGCATGGGTTTTTCTTGCAAATAAACCAAATATTTCAACAGTTACCAATTCTCCATGAGCCATGTTGTCAATTTATATGTTCGGCCAATAGAGGCAATAGATAACATAAATTCCTCTCCTGTGGTTTTCAATATTGAATTGGGATCATATCTTGAATTGGGATTAGGAAATATTTTTGATAAGTAACAACATCTAGGAGGGTATTAATTATACACATCCCTTATGATTTGTTATAATTATAGAAACAACTATTATAGTTTGCCATAATTACAGAAACAACTATTATAGTTTGCCATAATTACTCAGACCTCCCTTAAAAATAAAACCAACCCCTCCCTTCCCAGTCCGGACCATTAAATGTACTAACAAATATGTTTAATTTACTGAAATACCCTCAAGTTGTGATAAATGATTATAGTACCATCTTTGAGAGAGGAGATGGACGAAGGGTAATATGAGAACTTCACTTTATTCAGTACATGACATCAGCAAAATCCGTCATTGACTAGCATTGACCATAACAGAAGGGAAATCCGTGTAGGTTAGTTTAATTTTTAGAAGAGGTTCGAGTAATATCCCAATTTACCCATCTAGGAAATATTTGAATTTGATAGTTTTACACAGCACCATTACTAAAATGATACAATAAAACATAATATGCTTAAATTTGCCTAAATTTTTCCTTCGCCATATGCTTAAATTTGACTAAATTTGTCCTTGGACATCTGGCTAATGAATCGAATACTGGAGCACAAACATACAACTTTTAATTGATTCTTGTTTTACCTCATGTGAAAGGGAAGATGGTAATTTTATATTTTACTGGCTTTTAGAAGAAAGTAATTTTAAATTGAATGCTGAAATAGATTGACATTTCATTCTGAGAGTTTATACATCATTCTGACAGTTCATAGAGAATGAACTACTCTAAAGTTACAAGAAGTCACACCATTATAACATATTCGGCATGCACTAAAGAAATTCAACCTACAAAATCAGCCAAATAGGATCAGAGTTAATCTAACCAACAGAGATTGTAATACATAAATAGGCTAAATTATCCTGATTTGTCAATGACCTAGGTTCTTAAAGCTCGGGCTTGATCTTCACATCTCCATTTGGTAATATGCTTTGTGCTTGTGCAAGCCGTTTCGATTCCTTAACCAGATGTTAAGATATTAGAGCTATATATATATAAACAAATAAACACACATCCACACAGAAAGGAAAAAGGACTAAATATATTCTTTAACTAGCATATGCATTAGCAAGTGAGAATGCCCTAATGGCGGATTATAGAAGGAATGCGTGAGATGGTATGAAATGGGGTGTGGGAGAGATGTGAATGATTGGGAGTGAGTTATTAGCTCCATTCATATAAGGTGGATTCCCAACAGAAAGGGATGACATGAAATGGGGCATTGAAATATGTGTTTTGAGGTGAAGTCATTTTATACAGTTCTAATAAAATTAAGTCCATGGATAGCAGGAGGGGCTCCAATGCTCCTTCCAATGGGGTTTTTTTGCATCAACAATGGTTCATGGGAAGATTCGGACCACTGGTAACCTAAGTTAGAGAAAAAGAAAAATAATAAAAAATCACTCCCAAGTCCCAACTGATGTTGTGTGAGTAGAGAGGAAAGTAGTGATGGACCAATTGCTTATTCATTGTCCAGTGGCAAGAGAGCTATAATCCGTTGTGCTGGCATCTTTGGGGTGTCAAGGCTATTCCCCTGTACAGTGGCAGATTCACTCCTTACTTGGAGAAAGAAGAAAAAGCTCAGGAGGGGGAAAGCTTAAAATACAGCTTTGTTATCTTTTTCTCTCTTTTTCCATTTTTATATACAGATCCTTTATGTTGGATGTGTCGTATTTGGGGAAAGAGAAATACGTGGTCTTGAGGGGGAGGAAAATTCTATTGATAAAGGTAAAGAGTAACTCTTGTTATGCCTTTTTTTGTTGGGTAATGGGAAGGATCAGCTCCTCCTTGGACAACTTTTTGCATGTTTCCAAGTACGAACAATCGGAAGGTGTAATATCCCGAGTTTCAAAATGAGATTCTTTGGTGCGTGATGGTAGTGATTAATTAATGCCAGGTGTCGTGGAGCCTTGTAGAATATAAGAAGCAAGTGTGTGGTTAGGATCTTTTCCTGTTGGGCCAGTGTTAATCTACACAAGGAGAAACTAGTAAAGATAACCATTATCTCATATGATTGGGTTTGTAAAGCAATAATAAAAAATAAAAAAAATGTGGACTGCCTTGATTAAAAAAAATAAATAAATAAATTGAGATTAATTCTCAGAAGGTTTCCAAGTACGAACAATCAGAAGGTGTAATATCCCGAGTTTCAAAATGAGATTCTTTGGTGAATGATGGTAGTGATTAATTAATGCCAGGTGTCGTGGAGCCTTGTAGAATATAAGAAGCGTGTGGTTGAATGTGACAGGTGTGCCAACACTAAGATGGCATGCCCACATGTTCAACCCATGCACTCATTTGGACTAAACAACTTTATGTGAAGGGTTTTGGCATGAGACAACTGGATTCCTGGGGGTATATAATATATAGTAGTCAATCGGCTCAGCAAATTTTCTCAAGGGAAGTTTCCTGACCCACCTAATCTGATGTGAATAAGGGACTAGCAAAGTTTATGGTGTAAGTTTGTATTTATTAAAAATAATAAAAAAAAAGTATAGGTGCCAGCACTTGTGAATACCAAATCTGGTAGCTCACTTTTATTTATCGACCTAATCTGTTGGTCTCTCACGTGTCACATATGATATTTACATTAGCAGAATCACTTAAAACCTTTTGAAGAGATTGATGTACATTTTCTTATAATGTTATGTATGTGACTAATTGTATATAAATAAATAAAAGCATTCAAAAGGGGAATGCAAAACCACAAGCTATATGGACTTCTGAAAGTCTTACAATGTTATATGGACTTCTGAATCATGTATTTAATCTGGAATGTATAGGTTCGGTCTACATGAAGACTTTAGACTTTGAGAGTTGAGAAAATTTTGGTAGCATTATTGTTACTATTACATTATACTGCATTTCACTTTAGAAGAACTTTGAGGTGTTATGTCATTTTCCTGGTTGTTATCTCACGTGACTACGGGGAGCAGGGTGTGACAGAAGGGGTAGTAGCAGTTATGCAAAAAACATCAGGGGTTAGGGTTTGGGGGTGGGGGGTGGATATATGCATGTATACATACACACATGCACGTATATACAAACACACGTAGAAGGGGAATGACAGGAACTACTTCTCGGGGTAAACTTGACACCTGGCAATATCATAATTGAATGAACAACATATTGAAACAAACTTAATGAGAAATGTGACTTACAGCAGCAGAAGCCGCGCGTATCTCTCTGTAACCGTCCACTTCATCAGGGAATGCCTGTTCAAGTTCCTCTAGGAGATGCCTGCGAAAACCCTGTAAAAAATGCAGAATTCTTAAAGCTTAGTTGAAGAAATCAACAGTGTGTAAGTATAGTATTTGTAAAATATAATTAACACAAAGAATTATAATAATCTGCAAAAAAGGAGCCACTGGAATGTGCATGAATCATATTAACACTTGTAGGATATCATATGAAAAACCATTAGGCCAAGATTATCTCTTATTTTTTCCTGAATGGGATGGTATTAAGATTATCTCTATTATATCCATCATATTGTGTACAAAGAGAATTTATATCCCCTACAATCTGATACAACAAATGGTAAAGGAAAGCTTTGAAGGCACATTATGTTCATGAGTCATACTAAACAATAAGTTTTTTGCTTTTAACCAGGCAAAAATGCCAATTATCAGTTATCAGTCCATATACACAGAAGAAACTATAAATATGATCATCCAATAAAACACTCCACGTGCACTCCTACCAACTCTGTATAATCTCACTTACTGCCACCTCAGTTCGTTTAAACCTATGACACAAAACTTGACAGATGTATTAAGAATTAAGGAATTACTGGAAGACAAAAGCTGCCTAAAAAGGAACCTACAAAGAAAAAAGGTAAGTTAAATATTGCACAAATGATGGTCTTAATTGAACTTTGGTACAAAAAAAAAAAAAAAAGAGCATAAGATCATTGCTAAAATGATAACAAAAAATGGTTTAAGAATTACATAACATAAGATCATTGCTATCCATAACATTGGAGAACAAGGTGTGGATTGTAGATAATTAAGTGAGGCAAAATGAATTACATATTACACAAAGGGGTAAAGAAGAAGAAGTGGAATTGTGAAATTATTAGGTAGGAAGCGAAATTAGAGTAAAAGGGTAACCTTGAAGGTATCCGTTTTGCCTTTGGTGATCTGATTTTTGGCAATGCAGCTATTTATAACATCCCTTGTGAATTCATCGGGATTCTTTCCATCATCAATTAAACTAGACATACAATAACAATGAATCGATTATCACAAATTAAAGACATAATAATGTAAACTACAAGACAAGGAAAAAAAAAAAAAAAGGAGAAAAAGAAAAAGACTAACTTGAGGACCTCCATGGGGACCTGGATGTTGCACTTTTCCGACAATTTCATCATGTTATCCAGCTCCATAACAAGAGAATTCCTGTAAAAACAAATAAATTCAATTAAGAATTGAATCGAAAAAAGAAAGATTTTTTTTTCCAAAGAAATCTAATCTAGGGTTTGTTTGATAGAAAGAAAGGAAGAGATACATACAGGCGTTGGAGGAGGGGGAGTTGAGAGGCTACGTTGAAGGAAGAGACAGTGAGGTAGAGCTGGTGGAGGAGTCCCAGCGTCTTCTGTATGGAGTTTATTACTTGGTTCAGGTTTTGCTTCGGATCCAAATCCGTTACTGTTGCTGTTGAACCATCCCCACTTTGATTTTGAGGGATAATCATACCGTTGACGACTCCACCGCCACCTCCTCCTGCTGCCGCCGCCAAGGCTGAGTTCTCCATATTTGATCAATTTTGTGTGTTCAGTTGGGGCTAATCTTACTTTCTATTTCTATGTTTTAAGCCCATTAGGCTTAGCACTCAAGAACCGTCGATAGATCGCCGTTGTTGAGAGCGTCGGTGGAAGAGATTAGTTAGTTCGGGACGATGAAGAAAGAAAGGAGAGAGAGAGCGCGCTCTGAAGGTTATCGATGAAGATACGACGCTGTTTTGGTAGATTTTGTATGGGATACACGCGGTTTCTTGGGTACTGTTCTGGAACTAGAAAATTGGAATCCTAGTACTAAAAATTTAGTCATTATATTCATATTTGTTAAAATTAGTTTGACAAATAAAAGAAAAAAAAGGATAAATTGTGTCGACCCTTAATTGGTCGATGTCATTCTAATGCGGGTTAATAATTTTTTTAACAAAGATACCGTGTGGTTTCAAATTTACTATTTGCCCTGATTATTTAATTTAATTAATTTTTAAAATATCAATCCTGTTAATTGACAAAATTACCCTCAACATGAAGTCATTTTTTCTCTACCCTAATCTTTTAACCTTTTTTATTTATTTATTTATTTATTATTTTTTTTTGGCTTCGTTTTAGTACCTAGCCGTCGACTCTTCCTCTCTTTCAGAAGATTTTTTTTTTTTCCCCGTTGTGGTGGGTATGGGTTAGCCATGGCTGTTTTAAATTTTTTCTACGTTGATGGTGTTTGTTGTGGTGTAATTCGGGACGAAGAAGAAAGAAAGGAGAGAGAGCTGTGAAGGTTATGGATAAAGATACGATGCTGTTTTGGATGATTTGGTTTAGGAATGGACACTGTTTCTTGGGTACAGTTTCTGGAACTAGAAAATTTGAATCCAAATACTAAAAATTTAGCCATTATATTCATAATTGTTAAAAAAAAAAAAAAAAAAAAAAAAAAAAAGGGTAAATTGCATTGATCCCTTGTCAATGTCACTCAGATGCTGGCTAATGACTTTTTTAACAATGACACCCATGTAGTTCAAATGTCATATTTGTCCCTAATTATTTAATTAAATTAATTAAAAAAATATCAACCCTGTTAATTAATAAAACTACCCTCATCGTTAAGTCTTTTTCTCTACCCTAATCTTCTTCTTCTTCTTCTTCTTCTTTTTTCATTTTAGTACCTAGCCATCAACACTTCCTCTCTCTCAGCAGATTTTTTTTTGCCTCCCTGTTGTGGAGGGTATAGGTTAGCCAGGGTTGTTTTTAAATTTTTTTTTTTTTTTTTTACTCTAGTGGTGGTTGTTGTGGTGTGGTTTGGGTGTGGTTGTGGTGGTTATGTTGATCTCTTCCCGCTATGAAATTACTTTTTAACCATCTAGTGGCGTTTGGGACGTAAAAGTATGGGTTGGCCATAGTTGTTATATATATATATATATATTTTGTCTTTTACTATGGTGTTTGGGTATGGTGGTGATGGTTCTGGTGCAGGTGATTATAGTGCTATATATTTATCTTCATATTTCAAAAAAAAAAAATTTAATTTTTTTTTTTATTTTAATTTTTATGTTGTGGTGGTGGTTATGTGGTATAAGTACTATTATATATAAACTATATCTAAATATATAGAAGAGATGAAGATGTTAGTTTCGTCCATTAAATTTAGGTAAGATGTTAAATTTGTTGACGACGGCCGTTCCAATACGCCAAACTAAATGTAGTGAATGTGTGGTTCAAGAAAAGCCCTTTATGTCAAATTTAAATTTATAAAAACCACTACCAACACCACTACTAACGTAGCAAGAGTGAGTAGGGATCGTCTCAAGGGATTATACGTGTTGGAATTTCAACTTCGACTCTAGCGTACCAAATGATTGCAAAAGAGAGTTGGGTTGGTTGATTACTTCTAGAAAAGAATTAATTAAAATGCAATAAAAATAAAACTAAGTAGAGATAGGGATTTAAGAGATGAGAAGAGAGGACTTAGGGTGTTGGAATCACCACTAAGCTCATGTAATTAACCACTTGCTTTCCATTAATGGGGAATACATTGTTGTGAACAAAATTAGTTCGACTAGCAAAGGTGACTCAACAAGTGTATAAAGTCTAAACAACATATGAAAGGCTACAATATATCTATTGGAAGAGGAATATATTGTCTAGACAACATGTGAAGAGAACAAAATATCAAATCAAGTCATTAAACCTTTCATTAAGCTCATAGTCCAAATAATTCATAAGGATGACTTAGTTAAACATGTATTGTCTAAACATCATGTGAGAGGCCACAATATATCTATTGGGAGAGGAATAAATTGTCTAAACACATGTGAAAGATACAACATATCATAACTAGTCATTAATCCTTCATTAAGCTCAAAATTCTATTACACCACAATATTAGAGCATATGCTTCTTGCATTCAGAAGTATGGAACATCAAAGAACAAGCATGAATTGTCTCCCCCATCTAACACTACACTACTAGCATGAAAATAAACTATGGGAGAGGTACAATCCATCAAGGAATAAGTATGAACCATCAAGAGACATAACAAAAGCATTCCATTAAGCACTAATGTCTAGCCATCACTAGATTCTCAATCAACCACACATAGACATGCAATTAATATAGAAAAACTAGTGTAGAGATCAATTCCCCAAATAATCACACATAAGACAACATGTAATTAAAATAGAAAATCAATGGAAGAATTAACCCATATGAATAATGTGAGACATAATTCCTAATTTAATCACACATAGACATGTAAATAAACTAGAGAATTAATAAGAAGAATTAGACCATGGAAATCATAGAATTATACCAAGATTCATGAAATTCACAAGGCTAGAACACTAATCACAACAATATATATAAAAATCCCCAAAAATAGAAATACAATGGTTTAGATTACACAAGACTTAGGGTTCATCCAAGCCCTAAGTGTAGATCTAGTCAATCATGGAGGAGGTGGATGTAGTCATGGAATCAAGCTCCAAACATGGCTCCATCTTCTTCTTCCTCTTCTTCTTCTTCTTCTTTGAAGCTCTAGAGATGGAGAGATAGTGGATTTAGAGATGTGTTCTTGAGATGTGCCTCCACTTCTCTCTTTTCTTCTAACCCTAATCTCTAACTTTTCTAAAGAGAGAAATAAAAATTACAATGTAGAAAATAAAATTGATAAAAAGCCTAAAGAATCCTCCTTTACAAATGAGTCACTTCCCTTTATATATAAGGTCCTTTTTCTTAGTCACTAAGTCTAGAATATATGCCCAAAAATATCTAATCCCGCAACTTTTTGGTAGGTAAACTTTTGGGCGCGCACGGAAAAAGTGACAGCTTGCTGCCAGCATGTCCAGTTCGATCGATCCAACTTATTTTCGATCGATCCAACTTTTTTCGATCGATCGAACTTATTTTTCGATCGATCCAACTTTTCTGATCGATCCAACTTTTTCTGCGATCCATCCAACTTTTTAGCTTTTTAGTATCAGCTTCTTTTTGCTCCAAATCAGCCTCTTTTTGCTCTGGATCATCGCTAAGACTTAGTTTGACTCCAAAAAGGCCTTAAGAACTCATTTTTAGCCCATTTTAACATTATTGACCTGAAATAGACAAAAACACAAATAAGTACTAAAACGGGTAAATAAGATAGATAAAGGTCCTAGAATACTTAAGCTTAAGGGGTTTAAATGTGTACTTTTCAGCGCTCATCACACCCCCAAACTTAAATATTGCTAGTCCCTAGCAATGAACTACGAAGTAAGGAATGAAATGAACAACTAAACAACTATGAACTAGAAAGCAATAAAATGATAGCGCCATTTTCGTAGGGAACACGATTGCATTTAACATATGCAACAAGTCTTTTAAACCCCTAAGTTACCCCTAGTGGATGAGTGAAGTCTCGTGAGGGTTTCCAGAAATGATACCTACAAACATTAAGCTCATTCTTTCAAAAGAGGCACCAATATTACAAACAAGCATTGGGAGAAAACTACCTCAAGTATGCAATTTTTCAACCATTTCCAAGCAATCTCCCAAATTCTCAACATCAAACAAGCAAGCATGGTCCTTCACACATCAAGAAAATGATCATGAAAATCGAAACAAGTCTAGAATCCATGTGAGAGGTCCGGCATCAAGTGCGTTGCTATCTTAGCCAATTAGAGAAGTAATCACATCCTTACCCTCAAACTAGCACATAAATCTAGTACCGATCATCAGGATAAGAGAGTGGACCTTTTATTAAAACTTTATTGTTCTAGGTGTGCTTATTCTTTTCACTCATTTTTTTTTTTATTTTTTATTTTTTTTATTGAGGATCAAAGATGGAAATATTGTGCAATGTGTTGATCTCTTAAGCTTTCTAGAAGATTCATGTAGCGAGCTTTAGGTCAATGACTCCCAAACCAGATGGCTTTAGGACATTAGGTGTTAAGACACCCCAACGGACTTACAAACTCAAATCAACTAGGCTACAAATTAAAACAACAACCATCTAATCATTTCCCACAACTCGCCTTTTGGGAGAAGTCCTCACTTTTATTACTTTTGCAACTTCTTCTTCTTCTTTTTTTTCAATTATTAACCTAGAGTTTGGGCCCTCCACCTTTCGGCGCGAGAAGTTCACTGCTTAATGAGGCAAGAATCCCGGCTACTCAATGAAAAGGGGTTGTTATCCACCTTTATCAAGAATGAAAGCTTTCAATACGCTACTAGCTCAATTGGGATATAACCAATTCAATAATCAACAAAGCATGTACCCCACAAATGAATGTTAGTGTGCACCGGTACTAGTGTAGAATCTTAGAATGAATCTCAAAACAATCACAAATTCAGGATGATGTGGACCACAAATGCAAGTAAGATATCAATCTTTTGAAAAATTTACTCCTAAATGGCATCCTCGAGGCATACAAGGAGTATTGGACTCTCAAATCAAGCAATTTTTAAATTTTAAGCAATATAGTCCTTAAAAGATCAAAATCATAGTTAACATCAATCTCAAATCTCAATCATGCATTTAAAGCTCAAATCTTAAGTAGAATGTAACAAGACACCTTACCCCCAAACTTAAACCGCACATTGTCCTCAATGTGCAATGAGAACAATGGAAAAAAAGTGGAAAGAGTATACCGTGGTGGTGTAGACATGAAGCCCGGTCATGATCCAATTCGAAAGACGTCTCCCCCAAACTTGGAATCAACAACCTACTTGAATAATCACGCTAGCAAACTCATATCAAATATCAAATGGGATAAGAATAATCAAATCAAGCATTCT